TAAATAAAAAAGTAAACATTTTAGTTCCTAAAATGCAATAAAATATCTTTCTTTAGTGAATGCAAAAAAATAATATTTCTAACTTCAACATGTGAAAAGCTCAATGCTTTCTGCTTCACATCAGTACAGTTTGAGGCTGATTTGGTAGTTAATTTTTTAGATTAACTGATTAATAATTAGATGGAGAAAGATGCTTAATATCAGATTTTTATGGATTTTTAATCGGGTGAAGGTAAAACTGGCTCTGAATTTCTGTGTAAAACATTTACAGATAAAGTGCTTCTTTAATTAACACATATTTTTGTACAATTTTGGCTTAATGTTCAGCAAATGGCCTTTTTCTGTGTCTGGATACTCCAGTTAATGATCAATCGATTACTAAATTAATTGGCTGTTATTCCAGTCATCGATTAATCACAATTAATCGTTCCAGCCCAAGATTCTTTCATACTAATATCTGACTTTGTAATATTATAATTTTAGTAATTTGAATTTATAGTTTTTAATTAAGGAAAATTCTGTTTAAACAAACGTTTGACTTTTACTGATTTTAAATGTGAAACAATGTAGAAATTTCTTATGTAGATTTGATCATTTCAGGTTTGGTGCCTTACAGGAAGCTGCAAATTCCTTAAATTTAACGACAGAGGAACTAATCTGTCTGCCAGACTGCTGCTAAAAATGTGAAGCATGAAACCAGAGGAAAGATGAGATTTGAAAGAAGGAGCCAAAGTTAAGAGAATAACTATAAAATCTTTATAAACTACACTTAAATACACTTTAATTTAACAATAAAATTATTTTTTTTAAGACTTTTGCACAGCACTTTAACTCTTGTCAGGTCAGTTTGGATCTTTGTTTTCCAGGGTGGAAGGATTATAAACAAACAGCTTTAGTGGTTTTTAAATCTGTTTACATTTAGATTTTTGTGGCTTTTGGACCAAACTTTTTCACACAGTCCAGACATCACTAGAAATAAATCCAAATTAACATCTGGATTTCTAACACCTTCATTTATAAATACTTAAATTGGTTTGATGACCTGAAACTCAGAACTGAGATAAACATGAAAGATACAAAATGAGGAAGAGGACAAACACTTTTCCACACCACTGTCGTTTATATTTAGGTTTTAGTACGGATCATTTTGAAAGCTAAATAATCTTTTCACCCTGGAAAAAACCTGCTAATTTTCCAAACAGGAAGCACAGAAGTGATTTTAGCAGGAAATAAATCAGATGAACATGTTTGTTACTGACATCATTCAGGAGCTAAAGTGAACAGCGTGTGGAAGAAGAAGTCGTCGTCGTCGTCCATGGAGCGAATAAATAGTTTTTACACGTCGAAACGTTTCGGCAGCCGACTTCAGCTGCAGAGATTCCACACATTTTAACGTAACAGACGTTAAAGCTCAGCAGGAATCCAAAACGCAGAGTTTCTGCCGCCTGGAGTCCAGATCCGCTCCCAGGGAGGGCGGCGCGGTCGGGACGAGGTCCGGGCGGAGCGGCGGCTGCTAGCTGTCTCTGCGGACGGCGCCTGCAGGGAGGAGCAGAAGCTCTTCAGACGGGTCGGATCCGGCCAGCGGACGGGGAGGAGGCGGGGACTCACCGAGGATGCTGCGTTTGCACAGAGGGCAGGTGTGCTGCAGCAACAGCCAGGGGTCGATGCAGTCCCTGTGGTACTCATGGAGACACGGCAGCACCCGCAGACACTGAGGACACAAGAGGCAGAGCAGAGATCGTATCCCCTACTCCAACATCCTGCTAGCACCAAAGGCAGCTGATGAGGCAGTGGACCAGTTTCATTATAAACATCTTTCTAGTGTGGATGGAAGTTGGCCTGTCACACTAACAGAAGTTGCTGAGCGATGAATTGTCCCAGAAGTTTTCACGATAAACGATAATGTTGTTTTGAGACCATTTTGAAGTAATATAATACAAGAACACATCCTGAAAGATCAATAAACTTTAAATACTAATAAACATTTAATGGTGGAACTGGAAAACATTTAAATATCCAAAATAAAACAACAGAAACAAATTGTAAAGTCTCTTAGTTGGGGAGCTGGGTTAGCAAAATGAGGAGGCCTTAGTCCTGAACACGGCCATCGCAGGTTCGATTCCCGGCCTGGTGACCTTTGACATGGCTTCCCTCTCATTTTCTACTTTCCTGTCAGTTCACTTTCAAATAAAGGCCACTAGAAAAAAAAGGTTCAGCTGAGACTGAAACACCAGACTGAAGACTTATCATCCAGTTTTTGGTAGAAAGAGAAAAACAATAAATGCCAAGTCAGACTTTTCTATCCGCATGTCAAAGATTTTGCTGACATATTGTTAATATGCTTGAATATTGAGCAGCAATGACAAACAGCAACAGTCTTCAGTCGGAGGCCTCTTCTGGTTCGTTTGAAGACTGACTGCTACTGGGGCTCCTTCCTGCCTGCAGCATCGTCATCCAAAGCGACTCTTTGACACTTGAATGATGAACATTTAGCTTCCGTTTGGGGTAATAAATAAAGTTTTGCTGGATTTTTAACACACCTGGTTGTTGTTGAACGGTTCCAGACAGACCGCGCAGTTCTCCGTCTCGGTCTGCTGGGACGGGTCGCACCAGCGTTTGGGCCGACGATACGTTTTGGTTTTCAGCGATGACATTTTCTTCAGAACGTCCTGCTTAGGAAGAAGCTGCAGCAGAAAATACAAAAGCAGATCAAATTTATGTCCTAATGTCAGAAGTCTCTAAAACATCTCTGCAAATTTGTAAAACATTAGAGACGAATAATAATAATTCCACGTTTTGCTCTCAATCCTCTATTCTGTAACAAATATTACTTCAGCACAGTGACAACTAACTGAAAAAACCAACAAGATGGCGCAGAACAAATGGTTCTTTATGTAGTTTCTGCAGGTAAAAAATGGGAAATCACTTTATAAAACAGTTTGTAAATAAATAACTTTAACACCAACAACAACCTTTAGGAGCTGGTCTGTGTTATTTATTACGTTCAACAGAAACACACCACATGGAGACATGGACGAAGGTAAAGTGCAACTAATCGGCCTGTGGAAGTGAAACTCAACCCTAAACAAATTTAGAAACATTCCACAATTTTTATAGATTTTAGAGTGTGGCCAAGAGGTGGATGAGCAACAAATCTGGCAGCTTTTTTCTGTATTTTTGGAGAAGGTTTGACTGCAGTAGCCACTGTTCAACCCACAGAGGGCAGCATTGAGGCGGTTTCAAAGTGAAATGTTACAGAATCCAACAAAATTTCAATAAATTGTGAAAATCTCTGCAGAAATTCCACCTGCTTAGTCAGTTTATCAGCAAAAAAATATTTAGTTTTGGGGTTTAGTTACACCTCACCAAGTAATTTTTATTTACACAGAATTACTGGATGGAGCGTTGGGAGGAAGGGGAGACATGTTTTATGTTTTAGGAGTTTAAATCTGGAAAAAGGAAGTGACTTATCCAGTTAAATCCATTGATGGTCTGGTTATCTTTTAAAGCTTTTCTAATAAAATCTATGCACGTTACGAACTTCCTCTGACTTTGAAGTGATTTTATTCTGTTACAGTGCAGCCGCTGTGAAGTAATCAGCTGTACCTCTAGGTTGTCGTTGTCGTCCTGGTACTGCCAGCGGGCCTGAACGATGACGCCGGTGCAGAGGATCAGCGCCACCAGCAGGACGGTGTCCCACAGCTGCTGCAGGTACTTCTGGAAACCACCAGAGAAGAAGAAACGGCGTCTGAAACACACAACGCTTCTATAGCTGCGTATCCCGACAGATCAGACCAGGGGCGTGTCGCCTCATTATTAAAAATAACCAGGTAATTACATACAGATATAACAACAAATCCAGGTTTTTCACAGTTTCTCTTTTTTCTGTAACATTTGCACTGAATTGTACAAAAAACTTTGACTTTTCAGTATTTTGCTTTTAATCTCAATTCTTTTTTTTTCTTTTTTTTCAAAATTTTGACTTTAATCTCAGAATAGTGATTTAAATTTCAGAATTCTGAATTTTCCTCACAACTTTGACTTTAATTTAAGAATTCCGACTGCTTCTTCTGAGATAAAATTAGATTTTTTTTTTCAGAATTTTGACTTTTTTCCCCCCAGAATTTTGACCTTAATCCCAGAATTCTGATTTAAATGTCAGAATTCTGGTTTCAATTTTAGAATTCTGAATTTTCTTCTCAAAAATTTGACGTTAATCATAGAATTCTGACTTCTTCTGAAATGAAAGCCAGAATATAATTTTTATTTCGGTGGCCCTAATCTTCTTCCATAGGATTTCCACAAAGAATGAGACTAAAAATATCAGTAATATGCTTTTAAATTAACTTTTTATTAATGGCATTTTCTATGCCACAGAATAAAAAAATATCCACATTTTTAAGACTGTCTTAGAAAAACAGTCTTCACTCAGAGGTGTCTTCAAATTCACAGTAATACAGACTGCTACAGGAGCTCTATCCTGCCTAAACCATTATAATAATCTTTTGAATAAATGTGAATTAATATGAGTCTAAATTTATGTTCTTTTTTCAAAAAATTATGTGAGATTAGTGGCTCTATATCAGGTTTTTTTTGTTTTGTTTTTGTTTTTGGTTGTTTTGAAAGCAAAATATCTCGGCAGTTGGATTAGATAGACAGAGCTTTACAAATGAACGGGGTTTTTTTTGTGTGTTTTGTTTTTCTCGCCTCCCCACCTGGACCTGAGAGTTGCTCTCGCCGGTGCAGATGACCCCCTGCCACTCTCCGTACAGGCCGCCTCTGGACCGGCCGCAGCTGGACCACAGGGTCAGCGTGGCGCCCTGCCCGGAAAACACAGCGGCAGCTCCGTCAGCCTGTCATCTGCTCACTCACCACTGGGGGCGCTGCGAACCTGGAAACACGCGGCCAGCCGCGAGGAAGAGGCTCACCAAGTTGTCCTGTAGGATCGTCTCATATGTGATTTTAGCCGTCGCCCGAAGACCCCTGCAGTAATAATAAAGTAAATGCCATTTAATCAAACTAATAAAATAATAAACAACCTGAAGACTTAATTAATCGGAAAAATTCAGGATTTTGTGGATTTTGTGGGGGGTTTTGGTGCTACTTTAGAAATATTAGGAATTATTTGTGTTTACAGTATTTGTGTGTATGTATGACCGTAAATACCGTTTATTTTTAGAATAACAAATAATACATAAATAACATATTTTAATCTAGATTTTTTTTACTTGCACATGGCTTTCAAAGTTAGAAATAAAAATGATTAAGACAATTTAAAAAATAAAATAAAACAGATTTGAAATACTGCAAGAAAAAGCAAGAATTTTAAAAATAAAAAGCTGAATTTCATAATAAATTAAAAAGTAAATATTTTAATCTAGATTTTCTAAATATTTTAATAAATCTAAATATTTTAATAAATACTTTTTTCTAGATCAGGTTGGTGTGGCTGTGGTTGCGTAGCGTTTCTGTACCTCAGCAGAGCTCCAATCAGCTTGGTGACGTTCTCTGATGTTTGGATCACAATAATGGGCTTGGACAGCAGAACCTGGGACAAATCCATCTGCAACACAGAAACGAGCCGATCCAAACCGGCCAAACATTTCAACAGAACCAGGTCCAAAATTAGTGCTGCACCGATAAATCAGCACAGATTTCATTCATATTTATTGTAATATTTACAAACTATTCAGAAAGAAAAATAATGCTTGCAGCCAAAATAGGAATCAACATGTCATATGTTTGTTAAATATATTTTTTCCATATTTATTAAAACTGTCACCATTTCATGACAGTATAATATGAGACAGATACAGGTTTGCTGGACGATAAATTGTCCCAGAAGTTATCATGATAAATGATAATATTGTGGTTTTGAGTTCATATAACGGTAATAATAAAGCAGGAACATATTCTGAAAAATCAATAAACTTTAAATTCTAATGAGCATTTAACACTGGAAGATATTTTTAATACCCAAAACAAATCAACAAAACAACAAATAAAATTAATTACGAAGTCTCTTTAAAGGACTAAACTGTCCTGTAAAACTGGAGAACATCAGAACCAGTGTGACGTTTCACCTCGCTAGCTGTATTTTGGTTCAGAGCCAGGATGATCAGCGCCGACGCTCCCAGGACCAACGCCCGCTTCATCTGTGCACCAAAACAAGTAAAACAACAAAATTCTTAAAAACCAACATCCTCTAAACATCAATGAGAAACGACAGCTGAAACCTCCTGCAGGTTGGTGGAATCACCCTCTAACTAAGCTGCACTTGGGATGATTTCTCACTTTGTTAACCACTGCATCAGCAAAAGACTCCTGGTTCCCAGTGGAGGCTTTGCTGTCGTCCATCTCCACCGGCACAACGCCGATCCACGGCTCCTGCCGGTCGCCATTTCCCCCGTCTCTTCCTTCGCTTGGCTGCGTCGCGTCGTCTCCAACCTGGAGACAGGAAAACAAACAATCGTTTAATGTAAACTATAATCTCTGCAGGCTTACAGGGGCTGAATCAAAGCGTTTTTAATGGAAAGTTTAGTGGAAGGAAAATGTGTGGAAGAAAAAAGTTTTGCTAAAGCAATAGGGATAGATGTGAAGCACCATTTGAAGAGTTTGGGGGAGATTCAGAAGATATTAACTTGGGTGTTTTGATTGACGAATAATAATAATTTTGATTTTCTGATAACCTGAATATTTCTATGATTAAAGCTGCAGTATGTAACTTTTATAATAATAATTAAAAAAAAAAACATATTTTCTTTTATACTTGTTGAAACTGTCACTGTTGTGACAGCTTGGTGTAAAACATCTAATATGTGAAAATAATGGAGTTTCCCTGCTTTCTCCCAGGGATGACTACAAACAACAAAAGATATTGTTGTGAATGCTAATGCTAGTTAGCCTTAGCACAACCACTAAATACCATGGATGGTTTTCACGAGGATGATTGACAGCGTTAAGTCCCTCCTCCTGCCTCTGATTGGTTGTTTTTGTTGCATTTCATTAGACAGCAATAGCAGCTTAGGGACGAGGTGGATTTTCCCCCCACAGATTATCTCTCATATCACACTGTCACGACACTTATGTAAAAAACATTTTTCAATACAAAAGTTACTGCAGCTTTAATCATTAAATTTCGAAAGGAAATAATTATCTATATTAAATATACAGCTTTTAGATATATCAATTCTTTATTAAAGAGTTGTTTATTCACATTTACATCAATTTCAAAACAATTTTACGATGTAACAAAGAAAAACAAGAAGCTAAACACAGGAAAATATATTTATTTTCGCACCTTGCCAAATTTAACTTGAATATTTCTGATGCATATGTAGATCATAATATTTAATGCATGTGTATTTAGTACTTTCCACATCATAAATTAACATTCATAAAACATCAGGAAGTCTCACCAAGACCAGGTTCCCCTCCAGCTCCTCCTCCTCCTCGTTCCGGGTCTCTGAGCTCTTACTACCTCGGCTTGACTCCACCACTTCCCCCTGGAGCAGGGTGCTAACAGCGGGCTGCTGCTCCAGAAAAACCTCCACCAAAGCGACCTGCTCTGCGGCCACCAGCAGCCCGGGCCACCGCAGCAGCAGCAGCACAACAACCGGCGACGGTAAACAGAGACAACACCGGCGAGCTGAAGCCATGGTCCCCCCAAAAACCAGCAGGAAGCAACAATAAACACATAAAACTCATCAACTGTCAGGCATTTTGCTAGAAATCCTGCAGCCGATTATTTTAGGCTGTTAGCTCGCAGGCTCCTGGATGTAAACAGGAAGAATAAAAAAACTTCCGGTTGCAAAGGGAAGTCGGGAGGGGTATTATCTTGGGTAAGAGCGCCCAGATGATTCCCAGTAATAATTCAGTTAACTACCATTGGACTTTAAATGTGTACTTTTAAAAAGGGATTTTCTTTAACACAATACGATAATTCTTCTATCGATAAACGTAAGTTGACCGTAAAGCTACCGACGCTAACGTGTATTCCCCCAAAGAAGAAAGTAGAAGAAAGAGAATAATCTTCTCACAGTTCCATCTTGATTTTAAAGCCACAGTTCGTTTAATGAAAACTTCATAGCAAAAATAAAATGAAATAAAATATAAAATAAAAAACTCATATTAAGCACATTTTCTATACAGTTATTATTAGGTTAGTTAAAAAACAATCAACAGATCAACCCTACAAAAATAAAATATCTGCTTTCCTATCCAGTTGACTTTTTTTTTTCATCTTTACATGTATTGTTAATATTGTATAAAAAGGCTTAAGTTCTTAAATAAAACATCTGCAGAATGTATCACTAAAGGAATGCTGTGTTATTGTATGTTAGACAATAACATTTTTTATTTTCTTACTCAAAGAAGAAATTAATTTATGTTCATTTGTATTTGTAATATTGTGGTCAAATGAAAAATCTGAAGAATTAACTACTTTCTTTATCTGATTTATTTATTTATTATATTATACTAAATATGCATTTATTTCCCATTTTTAGCTTAATGTTGACGTAGGAACTCGCGTTTATTGAATTTTGGTCTTTGGGGGCCCCCGTACTTAGAGGCGGATCCTCCATTTTATCTGGTTGAGCCTTCTTTCTGCGGCGGAGTGACTTCTCTTGTTCCCTCGCAGATCTTTGGCCGACTCAGCCGGTTAAAGTGATCTCTTGCTGGCGATGCGTCTGTGAGAGTCGTGTTTACATTTTTTCCTCCTCCGTTTCGTTTTCCACCTGCAGGCCGCCGTCAGCGGAGGGTAACAGGAGGCTGCGGCCGTACACGAGCATCACTGGGCGGCGTCAGACACGGAGAACCGGCCCGCGTTTAACGGCGTCTGTCTGTGAACTTGACTTTGAAGAAGCACTGCCTGTCCGCCAGCTTTAGGTCCGAGACATGAGCGGAAGAGTTGGAGACCTCAGTCCTAAGCAGGCTGAGGCGCTGGAACAAGTAAGTTTTATATTTATGGATTAAACAAGCTCTTCATAATGTTTGTATCTATTTTTACTCCTTTTTTTATCCTGCTTATTTTAGTTAATATCAGTAAAGCAGTGTGGAAAAGGTTGTTATCTGTTGACATGCAGTTCACCGCTCCCATAATTTTGATCGGTTTTGGATGCACTTCCACACTACAAAGGTTTTATAGTATCATGACATGAAAACACTCAATTTACTACTTTTATGACAGATAACAGGAAGCTACTGTAAAAAAGGGGCATATTTACATCAGCTTATGAATTAGTGGCTCTTATGTAGGTGCAATTTCTGGAAATGTAAACTTCTCTGTTTTGTCATTTACAACCACAAATTTCAGTCTTTTAAATTTATCAATGGACCAACAGAAGGTAGTTCAGAGTTGAGGCGGAAGATAAAATGTAAGCTTCGGTTTTCAGTTACACCTGCAAGTCTTTTAGGGTACCTACTTACTACCAGCTTTGCACAGCTATAGATTAGCTGTGATTATAAGTTCAGTTTATATAGAAACTGAACTTATTGCTAATTTACAAAAAAAAGTCAAATATTTCATCTATGTATGAAGATCAATTTTCAACACATCCGCTCTGTATTTAGGTCCTTTCATCTACCTATGAACTCAGATCCAGAATCCATGCCATTACCATTCTTCTGTGGCACAATTTTAGTGCCAAAATCAAGACTGTTGTGCACATAGTAGTGGCTATTTCTTGTCGTCAGAGCCTATATCCATTTGCGCGCTTTGATTAATGAGGGGCTGACTCGAGACCTGAAAGGGTGCTTTACTCATTTGTGTTAGCTTTGGAGAGGCTAGTAACAAGCATGTCTAGGCTGGTCACCCTCTGGATTAACTACTTCCTCTACTTTCCATTAGCAAGGATAGGCTAGTGTTGGCATTGGATAGGTTGGCAACTAGCATGCTTAAACTGGTCACCTGCAAATAGTAGTAGTAAATCCAATTGATTACCAGATTAGGCAAGCTAGTTGTTAGCTTCTACAACACTAGCCTGTCTGCGCTAATGTGTACCAGAATAAGTAGGCAGTCCAGAGGGTTACCCCACTAATGACTAGGAATGCTAATTGTTAGCTTCTCCAACACTAGTCTATCTGCATTAATGGACCATAGAGGAAGTAGGTTTGAAGTAGGTCCAGTGGATGACTACCCCAGGCACAATATCCTATCCAAGGCTAATTCCAGGATATCCAAGGCGAACACTAAGCTATGCAAGGCTAATGGACAAGAAAGAAAGTAGTCAGTACAGTTGGTGACCATCCATGGTGTGCTAGTTGTTAGCTTCTCTATCTCTAGCCTTTCTGCCCTAATGGACAGCTGACGGAGTAGGCAATCCAGTGCATGACTAACCTAGCCATGCTAGCTGTTAGTCTGCTCTATCCAAGGCTAATGCTAGAATATCCAAGGCTAGTGCTAACCTACACCAACCAAATGGACAGCAAAGGGAGTAGTCAAGCCAATTAGTGACCAGACTAGGCAAGCTCGTTGTTAGCTTCTCCAACACTAGCCTATCTGTGCTAATGGATATCTGAATGTGTAGCCAATCCAGTGGCTGACCCCACTAATGACTAGGCTTGTTAATTTCTAGCTTCTCCAGCACCAGCCTATCTGCGCTAATGGACAGTAGAGGAAGTAGGGTAATACAGTGGGGATGCTAGCCTCTCCAAAGCTAATGCAAGTGAGTAGTTGCCTGCTCACTACCCAACACGGTTGCTCATTAATTGGTAGCTAGCTTAAGAGCAGATGTAGCTTCCTGCAAAAAGGACGTAGCCGCCACTGTATGCTCAAAAGTCTTAATTTTGGCTCTAAAACTGCACCATATATGGTGTGTTCAAGGTGATCAACAAAAATTATTTTGCTACCTTTAATGAGATTCTTTTTGCCACTCTTCCATGAATTCACAGCTTTGTGTTGGTATAACCCAATAAAACTCGTGGAGGTTTGTGATTGTAAAATGAGAAAATGTGCATGAATGTCCAAGGAGCATGAATACTGAACGTGCGTTGAGGTAACAACTAAAATAGACTTTTAAGTCTCATAAGCCATTTAAAATTCCTAACTTTTTACCAGATGAGAGATGAATAAAATCCCCAGCATGTTTCAGCTCCTCAGGGAGTGGAACGGTTCGTCTTAAAGAGACAGTACTCCCAAAGGAGAGAGCCACACCTGCAAGGGAATCGTCCAAACGGACATCTAAACATGACTGCATTGTTACAAAAGTAACAGGACACGGTAACCATCATGTCCGACAACAATGCCCAGAGCTTTAGGATGACGGGAATCGGTTCAGTTTTAGCAAACATGGAGGAAAGCTTACAGATCTTCAGAGGCAGCCTGGAGATTTTCTGGAAACTTCCCAAAGTTACTCAAGGTCTTCAGACGCATCGTAAAGCTGCAGCGTGCAGCGACATGCATCGGACCTTTGTTCCAGTTTAGGCGAGGCACCCGGTGTTTGCCTGCAGCCTCGACCCTGAAACAATAGATTAGTGTGGGAAAACCTCACCAGTCCAACCAGTGCTCCCTCCAGATCCAGACTGGCTGAGACTAAACGCAGTGACGCTCCCAGATATATGAAGAGTAATTTCAATCTGGGGCGTCCAAACTTTTTGAAACGGAAGCCTCAGATTGTATCTGCTTAGTTACGAAAAATGCAAAAACAATTTTATAGTGAAAGCAAATTAAATACACAAAATCCAGATTAAATGTCATAACCTGATGATGTAACTCTGCATTAAAAGTGTCATTATTCACCAAGTAATTCAAAGTTGACACTTTTAAACCAACTTTTTATGCAAATTTCTTTTAAAAGTGTCTTTATTTACCAAATAAAAGTTGCATTAAAATGTGGATTGATTAGTATTAATACACTTTTAATGAAACTTTTAATGCAACTTTGCATTTAGTGTCATTATTTACCAAATAATGAAAATTAATTCAAAATTTAATGCAATTTTTAATGCAGTTTTGTATTAAAAGATGCAAAACTGCATTTTTTGTGTCATTATTTACCAAATAATAATAATTAACCTAAATTTTAATAGAACTTTGCATTAAAATGTCATTATTTACTGAATGACGCGTCATGCCAGCAGATGTAAACATGAATAAAGACTCCTTCATGTTCATGTGTCGTTTCATGTTTCAGTGTCATGCCAGTCTTCTGCACACTCTGTCAAATAAAGCGTCACCAAAGCGTCACTTATTTAACCTCATTTAATTCAGTTAAGAGTTCCTGGATCTTTGTGGTGTGATGTACTTGTAATAAAGTTTTGTTTAATTTAAAGTGTACTAAGACATTTGCACTAGAAACTAAACCGAAAATATTTGGTCAGATTTTGTGTTTTGGCAGTGTTGAAACAATAAATCTCAGCTCTTTATGTAGATTTCTTTATGAAATCGTAACTGTGAAGTTTGTTTGAGCTAACATCTGCATCTATTATCTGTTTTTAGTTTCGATCGAAGGTACAAGACATTCTTCCTCAACTTCCTGCACAGCATGACCACTTCCTGTTGCGCTGGCTCCGAGGTGAGCTAATCACTCCTTCTGCTCTTATTTATTTATTTTTATTTTTAAATCAACCTGGGTGCTGCAGGAACGGCAGAAACACAAAATATCTTTGTCTAGTTTCTTAGTTCACTTGAAATAAGACAAAACTAACTTGAATTAATTGTTGTACTTAATTTAAAAAAGTCTCCATCTGGATCAGCCACCAGTTTTTGCTTCTTTTCTGGGAATGGTTTCCCTTAATTTGCAGGGAAAATCAGCGTTGTTCCCCTTTAAGCGGAAAGCAGAAGCTACTGTGGTTTATTACATGAAACTGATGCAACTGGAGTGAGGAGAGTTTGCAGAAGTTGACAGAGAAACTCTTGATTTCAGCTGAACTTATAAACACTGATCGATTATCTGCTCTTTGACGTCATTTTGCTCCGAGTCACATCCACAAAAACATACCGTCCCAACGTGAGATGTGCATGAAAAATGTTTGTCGCGGCTTTATGTCTTATCAGATTTATGATTAAATTAAAGCTGAGAACACTGCACATTGCATTTGATGTGTAAATTATGTATTTGTAGATATAAATCTAGGACATTTGGTTTCTGTCATTTCTTTTAAGTTGCAAGAGAGAATTAAATGAATTTATCTTATGTATTGGCCACATCCGTTTTAGCTAGCAGATAAAAGCCACATTAGCAAAGCTAATTTTGCTAGCAGTAAGTACCACAGTAAATATCACTGATATTTATCTTAATATTACACAGAGTTGAGTAGAGTCCTCAAAAATTGTAATCGATTAATAGATAGGAACGAGTCGACAGCTAGCTCTAAGTTTCTTTCTTGTTTGTTGTTGTCATAGCAACTCCATAGCCTCTGTCATGACAGCTACCTGCCAAGATGGCCGTCAGCTGCAAAGCTTCCGGAAGTGAGGCGTCACATTAGAACTGTCCATCCATCCATCCATCCATCCATCCATCCATCCATCCATCCATCCATCCATCCATCCATCCATCCATCCATCCATCTTCTAGCATCCACCCATCCATCCATCCATCCATCCATCCATCCATCCATCCATCCATCCATCCATCCATCCATCCATCCATCTTCTAACACCCTTGTCCCTGACCAGGTCGGGAGCGGTGCTGGTTCCTCTCCAGCGAACGTTTCGGGCGAGAGGCGGGGAACCATTACAACCATGTATACATTTAATTTTCCAGAATTGCTGCTATAGGAGAGTTTATTAAATACTTTATGTGCTACTTGAATATCGCGACGTTAAACGAACGAACGAATGAAGAAGGCAGTTAGTCGAGTTTTATCGTTCTTCAGCGTCCAGATATTGAGCGTCGGCCTCAGCAAAGGGAAATTATAATGCCGAAGAACAACTCGAGATCTTCTTCTTTCTCACCGCGTCTGCTTTGTGCCACGCGCACGCCCGTTGCTGTGGCAACCGGCTGACAAGAAATATGAGTTTTTTCTCTGCCTTTCTTCTGTGTTACTGTTAGCATTCATAGTAGATTATGGTTGTTATTTTGGTCTCATTAATATGATTATTTTTTTCCTGTGTTTTTTTTATTTTTATTTATTATATTACACAGATTATGAAAACTTTATAAGGTGTACATTGGCAAGGAGTTGATAATTATTCTGATGTTTATTTACAGTTGTAATTATTATTACGGTAATATTATTATTATGAGTCCATAGATTTTCTTGTCTTGTTATGAGAGTCAGTTTCTAATCTTTTTGCTTATGTAATCTAATTTATTTGTTTGTTCTTAACCCAGTAAATTGAACAGGCACATGAATACCATAACATGCTTTTAATTACAAATTTCTGATATTTACTGAGTCGGTAAGTAAAATATATCATTAAATTAAGACAGGGGGTTGGATTAGATCAATGTTAACTTCCTCCTGCTCCGTTTCAAACATAAGTCGTGGTAAAGCTAATTATTTTGTTCTTGGTTATATATGCACATGTTTTCTCTTGTCCTACTGATTGCTTGTTTTCTTGTTTTTAAAAAACAGTTTGAAATAAATAAATAAAAGTGGTTGACTGAACACCAGCAGTGGTTGATTAGCTCGTGAGCGCCAGGCTGCGCCCCTGCTTGAGGGTGAAGCAGCAGACATGTAATCGTCGTTTTATGCTTTAGAGTGGGAGGAATGGGGAGCTGAAGCAGAGGTCCAACAATCTGAGTATCAGTCTAATCCAGAGTTAATCTCATTAGCACTGGACTACGGTGGCTGCAGGAGTCTGCTGCTCTGTTCAGGGTTCAGAAGATATTGAGAAATTGTTTCTAACCAAGAACTCAGAGCAGCATTGAAGGCTCTTTGTTCACCTATTTAAGCTTCGTTCGGTTATGAAATGCCAGCTTTGGCCTCTGGGAAACGAGGAGCCGCAGCTCCAAACAATAAAGCTCTGTTACTGTTATAAAAGCACTAAATAGTTAAAGTTATGTCACCCTGGCACTTATGTAAAGCTAAATTTACCATTTAATGTTGCATAAAAATAAGGTTTAACACAAAAAGCCTGACTACACTGCAAAAACACAAAGTCTCACCAGGTATTTTTGTCTAGTTTTTAGTCCAAATGTTTTATTTGTCTTATTTCAAATGTACTAACTTACAAGTAGCTTATCAGAAAGAAATGGGAGCTCATTTTAAGTAAAAAATTCCTTAATAAAGTTGAAAAAGTAGCAAATTATTTCACCTATAACAAGACATTTTCATAAATTAATAATTTATGAAAATTAACATAAATTAATTTCTTCTTTCAAATGTAATAACATTAGACATTTTGTGTTTTTGCAGTGTAATGATGTAATATTTTGGATTTTAACCATGCACTACAATCAAACGCTTAAAAACATACAATTTTACATGATTTCCAATGCATGCATGGTGGCAGTTTGTGCATAAAAGATGCACCAGACAAGCCCCCATCTGAATTTAGTTTATCAGAATATTAGAAAATTAAGACCAATAGAACTTATTTTTAATAGAACTGCTATATGTTCATCAAAGTCATGGGGAAAGACTTGTACTTCTACCACCTTAGATAATCACTTGTTCATCAAAGCATTTTAATAGAAGGTTGAGTGGAAGGAAAGGGAAAATTTGTTTTTGTTTTTAAGCAGTTAGGAGGCAAATTGGAGAAACATTAAACTGCTACTGCGGCAGTTACTCAGCAGGCTGTTGCTAGGTAACCAGAGAGTGACTGAGTTGCTAGGTAACCAAAGAGTGAGTTAGCTAATTCCACCGACTTGCTTAGCTAGCTGCGAGAGGTTGAGAAGTCTTTCCTCTGCCTACATCTCCCAGAATCCTGTGCGGTTCTGGATCAGAGTTCATTGTTGAATATTGAATTTTCTATCAGATTGATTGACTATCTATTGTTATTGATAATGAATTACTAGGCTAAACATGCTAAATACAAATCATAACTTTTTATTGGTGCTCTGACACAAATGGATAAAGAAAGTGATTTCCTGTCCTAATATCCAAATAAATGCAGCATTGTTGGCCAACAAACAAACAAACAAACAAACAAACAAACGTGTAAATTGGCTCCATCAGGTGATGTGTGGTCACATTCTCGCTTACCAATGAGAGCAGGATGATGTCTTATCAGTGCCAAAGTGTAAGGAAAACGCATCCAAGCCGGCCATAAAGGTAATAAAAGCAAGGCTTAGTCTCTCCAGATCTCCAGCAGTTTGCTTTTGACTTGAGCTTTGAATCAGTGGGTAAAAAACTCAACTTTATGACAGAGCTCACCTGCTTTTCCAGCCTAGAGAGAGGGATTATTAAAGGATCCAAATGATCTACTGCAGTATTTTTCACATTTATTACATTTTAAATATTCTTAGATGGAATGGACATGTATTGAGGCCATTGTAGATATAAAAAAAATTCTAAAAGGATAACATTTTCAACAAAAATCTAAAAGAATTTTAGATTAATCTCATAAATTATCTAGAAAAAATTGAGAATTTCCAGAGTTGCTAGTAACTAGTTACATTTACTTAAGTAACTTTTTTGAAGAAAAGAAAATCCCTTTAGGAGTATTTTTACTGCCCTGTACTCTTTACTTTTACTTGAGTAACTTTATTGTGAAGTATTTTTACTCTTAGTTGAGTAAAATTTCTGGATTTTCTACCCACTGAAAGAAAACCAAACAAAATTCATCAGACAGTTTTTACTGAAAGAAACTGATTCAGAAAAATGTTCCTTTGCCTAATTTTGTTATTTTTTGTTACTTATATAAATTATTGTCACTTTGGTCCTTAAAATACCTAAATTTCCACTAAAATTTACATTTTGATCCATCTCATGATGTCATTTTTAAATATTTCATGATTGATAATTTGATCAGTTTCTCAGTACTTGAGTAAACTTTTTACCAATTACTTTTTTACTCTCACTTGAGTAAAATATGTTGAAGTAGTGCTACTCTTACTTGAGCACCATTTTCGGGTTTGTTACTCACCTCTGGGAATTTGCAAAGTCAAATTTGCTAGAAAAACTCAGAAATTATGAGACTTTAATCAGACTTCAGAAAACCTAAAACGCAGAAAACCTGCTTTTATTGAATTTACTAAAACTTACTTGTTAAATGCATGTGTTTCTAAAGCGAATCCTGATCTTATTGCTGAGAATAGGAGGAATAATTTTGTTTATTTTTATTTTCTATTTGAGCACAAATAAATTTGCTATTTTAATCACATAAAAAAAACTCTTTAATTCTGCAATTTTGGTGTCTGCAATAACTTTATCCTTTCTTTCTTTCAAAATAAAAGCATTTATTTGTTTAATTAAAATTATTGTTGGTTTATTGTTGGGAACTGAAAAATAATTATTTCTTTTTAAATAATTATTATTTTACCCACAATTACTTTTGACTTTATGCTTTTGTCCAAAATGACAAAACGTTTGGACACCTCTTATATGGACCTTATTAAAGGAAGCGTGATACGTCACCTTTAAAGCTAAGACAAAGGCGTTAGCGCCGCCTCCTTGTTTTAACGGAGGGTCAGTGAACGCAGCATAATCCAGCGCTCATCTCGGTTAATCACCTTACAGAGTCTTAGACGCTGAACTGTCTGCTCTGCTCTCCACCAGTGGTTTAGTAACTGGTTATGAAAAGTGATTATTTTTAATTCATTGCTACCTTCTCTGAATTACACAAACATCTAAACTTCAGTAGTCGAAGCTGGACTGAATTATTTTTGCTCTGATTCATTAAAATACAGTTTATTGTTTGTGAAATTAAATTTCTGGGATTTTCAGTTTTCCAAAAAATAAAACGAACAGACAAAGGTTTGACAGAGGAACCTTCGGTAAATAGAAAGTCTTAAAGTACTTATGTATCTTCCTGTTATACATGAAAAACTACAAACTTTAACACTTTTCCAGACTTTATGAAAAATCTTTCCTTTCCAGCGTTAATCTGTAATCTCATAATCTGCATCATGAAAACGTCTGGGATCATTGTATTTGATTGCTCAGCTTCTCAAAACTGTCTTGACTATTTTTATTAATTTTTTTATAATTATTTTTAGAACTACAGAAAAATTTAAACTGCAGTGTGTGTGTGTGTAATCCCAGATTAAGACATTTTTCACCAGATTAAACCTCTGCCTCTTCTGTTTCAGCGAGGAACTTCAATGTGCAGAAGTCTGAGGCCATGCTGCGAAAGGTAACCCATTATTAAACAATCTGCAGCAAATTACACAAAGGAGCTAAAAACAAACGCATCGTTTTTATTAATCTGTGGAGGCGCAACTAGCTGCAGGCGAGGCTCCAGATTATAGCGGGCAGAGGGGGTGAAGGTTCACAAACTGAGTCATCACTGCACTCAGAGGCAGATAAGACACAGACAAGAGATTAAATAAAGACCTGTGGCAGGTTAAGATTACCGGTTACATCATTTACAGCTAATCTACCTCCACTAATCTGCAGGACATGTGAAAATCCGCCATGCTAATGCTAATGTTTAAGCTAAACAAACAAATCTTCTGTTTCAGCACCTGGAGTTCAGGAAACACATGAAAGTAGACGCAATAATCACCGACTGGCAACCACCTGAGGTAAAACGCAAAAAACAGACCCTGCTGCTGCGTTTCCATCAGAGATAAAACTGTGCAAATCGAAATTATGATCAAGAAATTAGCTTAGTTTTGACAAAGTTGATGGAAAATTTTTAATATGACGGCAAATTGGGATTATTGTAGATGAAAAAAATACATGGAGCAAATGTATGCAAAAAACAGAAAGTTTGAGATTAATCTAAGAAAATAAGGAAATTTCTTTGTCTTAAAATATGAACATTTTGAAAAAAATATATATAATGTTGAGATTGCCATAAATTTTCAAGAAAAAAACTTTTTCAGTTTTAAGTAAAAAAATTGCTACAATTTGCATAGAAAATTTGAAATTAATGTCAGTAATTTTCAAGAGAAAATTTCTGACTTCAACAAGTTGAAAATTTGTTAGAAAATTCCCCAGAATTTCTATTCATCTCAGAAATTTTCAATAAAAAACAAGGACATTTCAAAAGTCAAAAAATGGAAATATTTGACTTTGAAAACTTGAAAAATTGCTAATTAGAAATTTTGAGATTAATCTCAGAAATGTTCTAGAAGAAACAAGGAATTTTATGAGTTTCAAAATTCAAAAATGTGCTAGAAACCTTCAACCAAATGTTTGAAATTTTCTGGGGGAAAATACTCCAGAATTTAGTTTCTAGAACTTTTTTTTTCTCCCAAGCAAATTTTTGACTTTTCAAACTCTTCAAATTTTTGTTAGAAATTTGCTCCTTTTTTTCTCTCTACAATGGCTCTAATATGCTGCCATATTTTTGCAGAAGTATGATGTGGTTTTTCTGCCATATCAAAATGGATATGTGTGATTTAAGTTTATTTTCATATTTAGCTATGTTTTTTTGTTTGATTGTTGTTTTTATATTAGCAGAATATAGACAAAGATTTGCTCACATTTGTAATGGAAATGCAGCTGCAGGTCTTCAAAAACCAGCTGTGTGATTCAAAATGGCTGCCCCCCTGTAGGTGATAGAGAAGTATCTCTCAGGAGGAATGTGTGGCTACGACCGCGAAGGCAGCCCCGTCTGGTACGACGTGATTGGACCCGTGGACCCCAAAGGACTCTTCCTGTCTGCGTCCAAGCAGGACTTCATCAAGTCCAAGATCAGAGACTGCGAGATGCTGCAGAAGGAATGCAACCTGCAGTCGGAGAGAGTAAGAGAAAAGGATGCTAACGCTAAGGCGGTACCCTATCCAGAGGTTGCTAGCTTAAAGCATGGGAACTTACGACAATATATTAGGGCATAGAAGATAGAAAAGAGGAGTAAATATCCACCAAAAAACTCAGAAATTTTCAAATTAATCTGAGAATTTTTTTAGAAGACGTATGGAAATTTTATTGCTCAAAAAGTCAAACATTTGCTAGATAAACTCAGACGTTTTCAGATTAAACTAAGAAATAATAATAATAAAACTAAGACATTTCTGAGTTTGAAAAGTTGAAAAATTGCTAGAAAAAAATCTGAGATTTGAATCTGATAATGTTTTTGAGAAAAAAAAAAAAAGAGGAGATTTCAGAGCTCCGAAAGTCAAAAATTTGAGAAAAAAACTCAGGAATTTTGAAATTAATCAGACATTGTTTTTCTTTTCCGAAAAACATGGACATTTTCTATATTCGAGACTCTGAACTTTCAATATATTTTTCTAGAAAATATCTGAGCAAACTCAAAATGTCGTGAGATTTTTGAAGCAAATATTTTACTTTAAATTTTGAATAAATAAATAAAATTATAGAAAATTCTCAAATTATTGATAATTTCTTAGTTTTTTGGCAAATGTTTTGATTTATTTTTTTCACAAAAAATTCCATTAGTGTGGTTTAATTTTTTTTTACTATTTTCTGCACCATTTGTTCAATTAGAGTATCATCCATCCATCCATCCATCCATACATCCATCCATACATTTTCTGTACACCCTTGTCCCTTAGTGGGGTCAGGAGGTGCTTGTTCCTCTCCAGCTAACGTTCTGGGCGAGAGGCGGGGTCACCCTGGACAGGTCGCCAGTCTCTCGCAGATTAGAGTATTAATAAATTTAAAAATAAGCCTAAATGTGGTTTTGTTTAATGTTACAAACCACACTTCTTTATGTGATTGGTGACCTAAAGAACTGCATTACAAATGAGAATATTTGTCAGAGTAGTTTTTGGATTTGTGGCCCTAAAAAATGAAGTAATAAGTATCTTAACTTTTATTGCAGTAGTAACACCATGTGATCCCTTTTTCTCCATCATGTAAGTTTTGTTGTTTTTATTATTATTCTGTGTTGTGTTTTAGCTGGGCAGGAATGTCGAGTCAATCACGATGATCTACGATGTTGAAGGTCTGGGACTGAAGCACTTATGGAAACCTGCAATAGAAACATATGGAGAGGTGCAAAGTGACACAAACTGTGTAATCCTCTCTTAAAATGAACAATCTGCTGATTTTCTGCTGTATTTCTCCTCCAGATCCTCCAGATGTTTGAAGATAATTACCCAGAAGGCCTGAAGAGGCTGTTTGTTATTAAGGGTAAACTTATTTAAAAAAATAAAATAAAATTATAAATTATGAAACTAACTTCATGTACCCAATTTATAAATAACAATATATTTAGTTTAGTCTTTGTACACTTCATAGTTTAACAGTTCATAGTTCAGGGTTGTAAAAAACACACAAGAACCACTTATTGAAAGGTTTTTTATTTTAAATATGTGGATATATTTAACTTTATATGTATATTTTTAACCATTTGTTTAATTGAGAAAATGCATGTATGCTTGCAACATACTCATTATTTTACATTGTTTTCTATTTTTTCCTCATTTAGCTCCTAAACTCTTTCCTGTGGCCTATAACCTCATCAAGCACCTTCTGAGTGAAATCACGCGGCAAAAGATCTACATCCTGGGTGGTGAGAAGTGGACACGTCGCTCCAGAGCTTGTTTAAATTAAATTTAGGATTTGTGCTGTGATGTTACATTGTTTTATCGTCTTTTATGTTGTTGAAAGGCTATCTGAATTGCAAATTGGCCAAGGCTGTAAATGTTGTAGTGTTCTGTTTTTGTTATTACTCAACCAATGCAAATAAACAATAAAGAAAAAGAGCTGAACAGTATCTCAAAAAATATAGCCAATAATAATATTGCTGCTATTTGAAATAAAATTTTATATTGGCTGGGGATGCAAATAATTAATCGACTTACCATTAATTGATGATTAATGGTTCATTTGATTAAAATTAGTTCCAATAGATTAACTATTAATGGCCGCATAGACCGTTTTTTTGTGTTGTAGTTTGACCTCCATCCAGCAGAGGGCGCCGCTGGTCATCCGTAAAGCGGAGCCATAGATACAGAAACAAAGATGGCGGCCGTACTAGAACAATGGAGAAAATGTCTAAACAGAGTCCGATGCGAGATGAATATCTCACCTTATGCGGTTCAGTTTTGAAATATAAGCAGTCTACAAGCTCCGTAAGTTTCACAATATTTTTAATACACAAATACAGCATATTTTGAAAATGTTTTACCCTATAGGTTATGAAAAGACGGCCCACTCTCTTTGTACAAGAGAAAACTGGGTTTTACGAAAACGGCGGCTTATAAAATAGACTATTTGCGAGATAAATCAACTTCATTAATCGATACCTTTCATCCCTAATCCTGACCGATTTAATAAATTTAAGTTTCATCCCTCCCTCTTATTTTGGAAACTATATAATCTGAAACTGCTTCTAATTAACTGGAGTTAAATCAATCAGTCACGCAACTGTCAGACTCTGCGCAACACAACACTGAACTATTACACTTGTGCAACGAATACCATAAATCAAAGCACCACAGAGTGTCAAACCACATGGTATTACTTAACCATGGTTAAGTAATACCAGCATATCGTTCTCACTGCTCACATTTTTACATCTTTTCATGGACTAAACATTTATGTTAAGAGGACCTGAACGTTTATTTATATTGTAATGTAAGTGTAAACACATTTTTCTTCAGGAAACTGGCAGGAGGTTTTACTGAAGTACATCGATGCAGAAGAGCTGCCGGCCATTTATGGAGGGACGGCGACGGATCCTGATGGAGATCCTCGCTGTCGGACCAGGGTGAGTCAGCAAACCTGCTGCTGCTGCTGATTATTTCATGCAAGCGGTGGCTGATAAGTTGGAAAAGATAAGTATCCAGAGCAACTGAAAATAGATATCTGGCTCAGCTCATTGATTCTAGGAGCAGCGTTTGCCCTTTTAGTTTCTAACTTTGATTACATTGTGGCACTTTTTCCCCAGTTGTTTTTTTGTTTTGATCAGTTTTAGGTACATTTATAATAATTGTAGCATAAATGTTGGCCATGATCTAGCATTTTCTCAGCAGATTCAGCCACTTTAGCCTTTCAGACCTTTGATGCCACCTTATGGGTTTTCTGATCTTGATTAAGTATGAGTTCTTAATTACACCTGCAGTAAAACTGCTTTCATCATCTTGACCTAAGCTGACTGGTGTACTCTGCTCTGTCATTGTTCAACAGGTAATAAAAGACAAAAAGTAGCAACTAATATGGCCATGCTAATGCAGATATTTTCTAGAAACAAACAGAAACTGTGGAAACAACTGGTAACAATTTGAACGGCAGAAGCAGAGCCCTCTTTTCAGTCGTGTTTTAATCAGAACTGGTTGAAAAACGCAGTTGGGTGCTGTTTCCACATGTTTGTCACATTGCAACACAAAGTTCACCAGGTTTTATGGAGCAACACAAAGTGGAGCATAATTGCGAAGTGAGGGAAAAGTATTTAGAATAACTGCTCAATCCCACCAGGATGTCTTCCACTGAGGAGACTTTGGGTTGGACTCTCCAATCTCTGGAGCTGAGTTCACCAAGGTGGTTTACAGGGGACCTATTATGCAAACAGTTTAGATGTTTTTGTGCTTCCACTTGGGTCTCTACTGCTTCTAAAAACAGCTAAGGCATTAAAAATAACCCCACCAAGCTGTTTTTTGGCAATAAGTTAAAGCTTTTTGGTGTCTGGAAAATGAACCGTTACAAAAAGTTTTTTAATGTCATAAATCAGCAGGTGCTGCCTAGTTACCTAGCAACCTCAGAGCAGAGTTCCAGCATGTTTGGTCAGCTGGTTTTAACAAGTGGACTAACCTTGTCTGGTGTGAATGCACCAGTAATGTAACCTGCTGAAACTGGTTCTTTGGTCTCCAGGATGCTGTTTGTTCGCTAATAAACCTCTGAGGTTTTCACAGAACAGATTATTTATATTGAGATTGAATCACATACAGGTGGACTCTATTCACCAGTAAGGTGACTTTTAAAGTAAGCTGGTTGGACTGGGTTTTATTTGAGGAACGAAACAATTTTGAAAAACTTGTAGCATTTCTTTTCACTCCACCTGTACTGATTTTACATAAAATCCCCACAAATACATTTAACTTTGGCTGTTAAGTGAGAAAATGTTTATAAAGCTTAACACTTAAGTGTCTCTAATATGTTTGAAAGTAGCTGTAAATGTCATTGAAAAAGATGTAATCTTGACATATTTTGCTCTAAAATATGTTTAATTTAAGTAGGAAAAAATGGAGAAAGCATGTATAGCTCTTTAGGACTCTGGGTTGGTTTTCTGGTCTTTAGTTTGCAGTTTATTTGGAAAAACATCTGTAATGCTGACTCATCTGTGCAGAACAGACTTTAACGATGTAATCTGAGACGATTGAGTCCAGAGGGATGCAGATGCAAATTTTAAGTGTTTACAACAGGCTGCCTTTTCAAACATTAACTCAATGCTGCTGCTGCTAATATGAAATCAGTAGCAGGTATCAATATGTTGCATATAAAACAAGAGAAACGGTTGTTTATCAAATATGTTGTGACTGGATGCCAGTCTGATTCCAACTTCGGCCACTCAGCCTGCTGTAGATTTAAAAAGATGAAATAAATCAAGTAGCTGCTTTGGATTGTTCTGGATATGCATTTACTTTAGCATTACTTTTGTCTTCTGCTCATCTAGTTTATTGCAGCTTTGCTTTACTACAGGCTGCCTGGTGCACATCAAATATTGCATATTTACATTTGACTTGCAAAGTTTGGTTTCTGCTAGCTCTGTAACCGCCAGATTTACCTGTCCTGACCAAGAACCTTGAATAAAGAAATGAATCTCCATAAGCCATCCTGGGAACCTAATCTATGTAAATCTCACAGGATCAGAAAATGTTTGGTTAATATTTATGCTGTTTTAATATAAAACACAACAGGCATGTCCAAACCTTTTGTTACAGGAGCCAAAATCGTCAAGTGGAAAAAACTTTTTCTCCTTTTCAAAAATAAAGTGGCAGTACTTAGAGTAAACAAATAAAGTAGTGTGTTGTTGGTTAATGTAGATACAAAACTTTTACAGGTTCAGCCTGTACCAATAAGTAATAAACCTAATTTGTATGATGAATTAAAATAAACTCAATAATTTCCATTTGCATTATTTACAGTTTTTCTTTTCTCTCCCTTTCTACCAAAACCAGGATGGTAAAACTTTTCAGTCAGGTGCTTTTGCCTCGACAATTTTGCTTAGAGACATCATAATTCATTTTATTTGTTGTTTTTGTTTATTTGTTTTGGATAGATAAAACGTATTCCAATTAAATGTTAGAGTTTAAAGTTCATTTATCCTTGAAAATGTGATCTTGCATTGTTTTGCCATTATCATTATATTAAATGAAAATGGTCTCAAAACAACAATTATTGTTTATCGCAATAACTTCTGGAATAATTTATTGTCCAGCAAAATGTATCTTGAACTTTAGCGCAGCCTGTTCCTGCCTGCTCTGTCCAGTTCGCCTTCATGCTGCTGCTGTGCCGCTTCGCTTTGCTGCAATAGGAAAAGCAAATCAATAAAAATCTCCCTGGCAGATCATCTGTAGCTGATGCAGTAAAGGCATGGGCCGGTTTGAGATCCTCACGCTGTCATAAACATAACACCATGTCATTTTATTTACACAAACATTTAAAGTAAAACAATATGTTGTCTTTCTGCTTTCTGTACAGTTACATGTAACCTAAGGAGTGAAGGGTGGCGAAGTTTTACCTTCTAAACTCGCATGTTTTACACCAATATTGTATTTATTTTTATTTTTTTGCTATGCTGAATTTAAGAAATGTATATATTTTAACAATATTATTTGTCAGCTGTGCTATGTACTGACTGAATAAATAGGAAAATTGTGGTTTTCTCACATTAATAAACTTAGACATATTTATGAAATATAACAAAACAGGAATCTCTGAGATTGCTGAATACACAAATTTAAAGTGAAATTTAAGGGGTTTGTCGAGTGTTTACATTTCAAAACAGAACTTCATAAAGTGCAATTTGCATTCCAAATTAGGTTTTTAAAAAAGAGGATTTGTTAGAAAAAACCCTGAAGTTTTAACAGTTATCTCAAAACTTATTTTCTGAGCTCCAAAGGTCGGATATTTGCGAAGAAAAAACTTACAAACTTTTAGATTAATCTCAGAAATTGTCTAGAAAAATAAGAAAGTTGCTGAATTTGAAATCGGAAAATTTGCTAGAAATGAAATGCAGTAATTTTTTAGATTAATCTCTAAATTTTTGACTTTTCAAATTTTGAAATTTCCATTTTTTTCTATAAAATTTCTGAGGTCAATCTCTGTGACTTCTGGTGGAAACTTACTCTTGTTTTTTTGTTCTTGTATGCCATCATACAAACCACCCTCTGGTTCTGGCATGAGCCCCGCCATCTTTTTTTCTGTATCAACTGGCTCCCCTTCAGGATGGCCAGTGATGCCCCCTGCTGGATGGTGGTCAAACTACAACACTGAAAGAAAGTTTAAACAAACATTGTAAGTTAATTGACTGGAACTAATTTGAATCTACTAAACCACTAATCGTGGATTATTTGTTTTCATCCTCACTCTGAAATGCGACTCCTTGATCAGGTAACTGGCCCATGCCTAACGTAGAGCCAACCCAGTAGAAGCTGCTCTATGATCTAATCGTAAAACTGATTCATGTTTGTGGCTGTTTCTTCAGATAAAAAATTGGGCCCAAGACGGATGAAGAACATGAGGAAATTCATTTGTCTGCATTCAGGATGTTTGGGATTAACTCGGCCTCTAAATGCTCTGGGTTTAGCTTCTCGCCGGTTAGCTAGCTGTGTTCATCACATTGTTCGGTGATATTTTGGTTAGTTTGGGACCTGATCTCTGTTCACATTGTTCTTACATGATGACACAACAAACATTATTAGAAAACATTATCCGTCGCGAGGGTTAAATTTAACTTCTAGGTTTTTTATGATCATTTTAGCATTCATGCATTATTAAGTAACTGTAGTAAATATGTTTTAGTGCTTTTGTTTTATCTAGGTAAGCATAAAACAAATAATTTGATAAATAATTGTGAACTGCAGAAATCAAAGTGCTAATGTTATTTAAAGTAAGTGCACTGCAGACTGACGTGAAACGGATGTTTTTGTGTTTGGTTGGATAATTGACCCGTAAGATATAAATTATCATAAAAACACCTGCTTGATCTTAAAAATTGCCTGAATATCTTTTTTGTTTTTGTTAATTTAAGAAGCAGAAAAAACATTATTTCAAACGATAAACTATTTTTTTAATTGGAAAGTTTCTCCTGCTCTAAAGATGATGAAGAAAAACATATTTAGCCTAAAAATTTATATTTTTGTTGGTTTCTTAGAAAATGTCAGTGTTACAAATGAATCTTCCTCCTGTAATTATTTTTGAACTAAGGGTCTCAGATTCAAATGGCAAACATCAGAAATCACTATTTATTTATTTGTTTATGTTTTTTGAAAACATAAACTTGAAAAACTTTGAGCCTTATGGACTTTTGTAAGGTATTTTATTTTAGTTTATTTCTTCTCAGTTGGTTTTAATTGTGCACAGTTTATTTAATGGGAGTGTTTTAAACCTGAACAGCCTTCAGTCTGCTCTGCTTCAGTCTGTTTTTATTGTTTTCTCCATGTAAGTGTGTCCACATTAGTGGTGGGTGTTCATTTTTTTTGTGACTGCATGGCACAGCAGGTGTAGCCCCACAAACACAAATATTCATCTTAATTTTTTTTATTTGCTTCTCTAGGACACCAGTTACATAAATAAATGTGATTTAAATAATTCAACTTTACACAGTAACTTCATTTAAGCATATTTTCCAGTTTATTGATATTAATTGATGCTTTCATTGAACAAACAGTGGTGTAAAAAAATAACAATCCCAACAATACTGACAGTTTTTTTATGTTATGATTGGGACTTTATTGTGACAACGATAGGCCTGTTGCAATAAATCAATTAATTGTACAATAAATTAAAACTAGTTCAATAATCTCTGTTTGCATAATTGATCATTTCTTTTCTCTCTTCCCACCAAAACCTGGATGATAAAAAGTTTTCAGTCTTTGGTCTCAAGTAGCCCTTTATTTTGAAGGGCAGTTTTGTTTACAGAAACTTTGTAATTGATTTTATATTACTTGAAAATTATCTCAAAGGAACTGTATTATTGTTAGTAGCAATAACTTCTGGATCTTCCAGTAAAATTTATTGTGAAAGGCCCAGATAACGTCAAATCAAAATGATCATAAAATAAAACTAAGTGCCCACCTCCAGTCCAGATTACACTTAGTTTTCACTGACACTCATGTAACTACATTGCGTAGGCAGAGTTCACATCAGGAAACAATGGCCTGTCCTTTTAGTTGGGGTTATGTATGATACTACACTATTCTGATTTTATTTGGCTGATTTTTGTGTGAATAAATGGAAAAAAAGATCCTTTCTGTGCTTGGTGTGACCTGCTGTTGAATGTCTAAATAACATGGTTACAAGCAGTCAGACAAAACGGCTCCGTAAGTCAAGCCTCGATTTCTTCTAACCTTCTACTTCCCAAGTTTTCATTCCCTGTATTTTGACCATTTGTGACTCTTGTGCAGATAAACCATGTCGGACCAGTTCCTCCTTCCTACTACGTGCGGGATCACGTCAAAGTGGATTACGAAAACTGCCTGACCGTCAATCGAGGTTCTTCCCAACAGCTGGACTTTGAGGTCTTGTTCCCAGGCTGCGTCCTCCGGTCAGTGGACTGATGGGACGTCCGTCCATCCGTTTGTTTGTTCAATCATTTCTTTACACCCTTGTCCTTAGTGGGGTCGGGAGCTAATGGGACAATTACAGATCAATTTCAAATTAAACATGCATGAAGAGAAACATCCTCCATCCCTTTGACTGCATACAAACCAAACAAGCAGAACGATGTTGCAAGTAAAATGGGGAACCGCTATTTACTAAACTGAACTATTTGGAAACAATGTTAAATGTTTATATTTATTTTATTTACTTATTTTAATTTTTATAGTTTGCTATACTGGGACAAGCAAAATCCCACTCTGCAGGCGATCTATAAAGTATCTTAAAACCAGCTGGCCAAATGTGCTCAAATCCAGTTGCGTTGCTAGGCAACGGGCTGGGCTTGCCTGTAGGGGTTGCTAGGTAACTGGCTGGGCGTGGCTGTAGGGGTTGCTAGGTAACGGGCTGGGCTTGCCTGTAGGGGTTGCTAGATAACTGGCTGGGCGTGGCTGGGGTTGCTAGGTAACGGGCTGTGCTTGCCTGTAGGGGTTGCTAGGTAACGGGCTGGGCTTGCCTGTAGGGGTTGCTAGGTAACGGGCTGGGCTTGCCTGTAGGGGTTGCTAGGTAACTGGCTGGGCATGGCTGTAGGGGGTGCTAGGTAACGGGCTGGGCGTGCCTGTAGGGGGTGCTTGGTTACGGGCTGCGCTTTGC